CTCCTCCTCCTCCTCTCTCTCTCTCTCTCTCTCTCTCTCTCTCTCTCTCTCTCTCTCTCTCTCTCTCTCTCTCTCTCTCTCGCTCTCTCTCTCTCCCTGAATAACTTCCTCCTTAAATGGCGTTACTGCGAGTTCTCATACTATATAAAGTCTGGTTATCACAGAGTCAGTACGTGGATTTTTCTACTCGCCAAATTTCTTACGAGTTCAGTTCGTGTGCACTATGAAATCCAGTCATCGCGCATGTTAGCATTATTGCACCTGTCATTTCACGTTGACACATCCGATGAACTCATGTCTATCTGCGATCCCGCGACCCCGGCTCGCGAATTTTTAAACCGTAGGATGGCGACGCCAGATTGATGAATCACGCGACTCTGAATGGTACGTGCGAAGTACTAATGCCTGTCACGTCAGCAACAAGCAACAAGCAGCGAGCAGCAAGCAGCGAGGGTCGGTCGCGTGTGCTAGCCATGCCCGCAGCTTCTATGGGGCAAGGGGGCGAGCGACTTCCACAACCTCATAGATTTTTAATTTAAAAAAAAATCAATATAGGTAACCCTAAAAAATAAGTGTAAATCCGCGAATCCAGAGTCTCACAGGCACCACACTGCATTATACACGGTGACTAGAAACTGCGCCCTTCCCTCGTCTTTACTCGGCCGAGTCAACATATTCTGTCTCATAAAAAATTACTCAAGCTACGGTCCTGCTAGCAGGTGCCACAGGTGACCGTGTGAGGTAGTTATTTGCCGGGGTGGATACACGGCTTTCATTACTCGGTGCCCCGAGTGTATAGCAAAGTTACCGAAATGGCTTATACGTACCAAAGTAAAGACATTAACGAGTCGTAATTTAAATGAAGGCAGCCGAGTAGTAGATGGTTAGGAACAACCTTTCACATAAAAGTTATAACTGTGTTGGAAATGCTAAATTAATTAATTATCAGGCACCCGTTTTACCTATATCGTAGCATGGAAGGTTATGTGTTAATCTGTCTATTGATTTCTGTGCATAAATACTACGGCCCCTAATATTTGTCGGCACAAGCACACGTGATCAACACACACGCATATGCACGCATTTATATGAAAGAGTTACTGTCTCGAGCATTTACTTAAAACGGTTTTCCTAACCATAAATAATAGACAGAGTCACATATACACACTGTCACAGGTTCAGTGTCATAACAAATAATGACACTGGTCAATGCCATCGTTCCGTAGATGATGGCGCCTCACTGGTGTATTGTGTAAACTTCATATATTTCATGATTGCTCCAGATTTCGGAGCGTTTTTACCAGTAGGAGGGCCGCGGGGAGGAGGTGATTACACATGGTATAATTGTGCCGACGCAGCCGCCGCTAACGATGAGAATGATTGTAATAGAGATCTGTGATGTTCGCGTTATATAGAGCGCCCCTCATTCATTAGAGCTGTGGAAGGCAGCTATGGGTAACCCCTGCCAGTGACACCCCACACGCTGCACGTGTATGTAGATCGAGAAATCAATGGCCGCTGCTACGGGCAGACTTGCATCATATCACGCGCTATATATCACGTTTCCCGAGCGCCGCACATTGCCATTTCTTCGCATTCGTGCGGTCGTCGTTGTTGCGAAGACGCACAAGTGTCGCATTTATTATGCATGTTTAGCAGCATGCGATTGTTAGCATTGAAACATTGCGTGTTGGTAAGCCCCCCTCCCCTCCACCGACTCAAGCAATACGAATGCTGCGTGACCACGTACACCCGTGGACCTGCCACGGCGTAGAAACATACATCTTCGATGCACCATATCAGGAGTCTATCAATATTGATAGACTCCTGACCATATAGACATTAATGCGTCGATGGATGCGAACGCGTTCTAGTTGGGGCTAGTTTTCACTGCCCGCTAAGCAGCATGCTATGACGGAGTTGTCGTGCCCGCCGATGCTGCTGCTGCTGCTGCTGCGGGGAGAAGCGGCGTAACGCGATGCGACATGTGCATATCTGTCAACGCTTCGCATAATGATAAGCCCGCAAAGTTCTTGTGCAAAAGTAGCAGCAGTAGCGGCAGCAGCAGTAATAGTAACTAGCAGAGGCAGCGGAGACGGCGGCAGCAGCAGTAATAATAACTAGCAGAGGCAGCGGAGACGGCGGCAGCAGCAGTAATAATAACTAGCAGAGGCAGCGGAGACGGCGGCAGCAGCTGCAGCAGCAGCAGCAGCAACAACAAAATGAAGGCCATTACCGCCAAAACCTACCTGTTTTAATCGCGCTTAAAATGTATTTTAAGCACGATTGAATTCCAGCCAATCAGAACAGTGGTTTTTAATCG